ATTTCTTGCAAAGCCATAGAACTTATAGATATCACTATTAGAATATTGTTTCTTAAGGCTAATTCTCTAAATTCTTTTTTAATTTTCAAAATGTTTACTCCTATTTTATGGGTTATGTTGAAGTCAGTGTACATTTCTAAATTTAAATGGTTTTGTTCTTTCAAATGCATTATTATGTTGTTTGGATTGTTTCTCTCAATGATAATTACAATTTTTTAAATTAAACCATGAACTTTTGGCAGAACATGATTGCTATTATGATGAATATCTAAGTCTTTTAACAATCAATTCTGAGCACCATCTGCATACCATATTTACATTCCTAGCATTGATGAGACACTCATATTTTTTGTTAAAATAATCAAATTATTTTGTATTGAAGAAATAAAAAGCATTGTGTGATTTTGTATAATTCTTGTGCAATGCAAAAGATGTTCAGGCAATTTGGACTTTGTACAGTAGTAGAGAGCACTCTAGGTTTTTTTCCATTATTAATACTAGAGGCCTGGTGCATGAATTCATGTACAGGTGGGGCCTGGCCAGCCTGGTGGTGGGGGGACATGGGAGGTTGGCCTACCAGCCCCGCCCTCGATTGGGCTGGTTGGCCAGCTGCAGTGGGTGTCATAGCGACCAGTAGTTCTGGTGTTCTGGTCACAGGCTTTTTATATATATATAGATCATCACTTATTCTCTGAAAACTCAGAATATTGGGGACTGATATTTAAATGAGACATTAATAAGTGTATCCACACTTGGTTGTCTTTTCTGCCAGTTTGTTTTAAATATTTTAGTTATAAATTCTTAAGTTCAGAAATATTAAAACACTACACTTACTACTTACACAAGAATTACAGTGCACAAATACAATAAAAGTAACAACTATGTAGAACAAGTGGCATCTACATGACTTCAGTCTAGTGAGAAACCAGGTGTGAACGGCCTGGTGTGCTTTGTGGTAAATGAGCACACAAGGGGCTTGTTTATCAATGGTCCTTGTGACAGCCCATGACAGCCTGGATGAATGGGCTTAATTTAGAATTTTAATTAATTATTCATTTTGCTATTGGCTACCATAATCATTATACTATTTCCCAGTCAAAACAGAAATCTTCCAGTATGACCACAATCACTGCTGTTATACTAATAAATATTGGCTGGATAAATTATGAGCTGGAAAGCAGATCTTTGAAGTCAAAAGTTCTTTCTGGGTTTGGAGAGATTCTGGAAGGAGAGAGTGGCTTTGCCAACGGGGGAAAAAATGGACACATATGTAATACCCTTTGTAATAAAAAATTAAAAAAATATTGGCTGGATAAATTATGAGCTGGAAAGCAGATCTTTGAAGTCAAAAGTTCTTTCTGGGTTTGGAGAGCTTCTGGAAGGAGAGAGAGTGGCTTTGCCAACAGCAAGGGGGAAGCAGGAAGCGCTTTCCTGCAGACTGGAAAGAGGCTGAGGTCGGGGCTCTGGGGAGGGGCGACCCAGACCCTGCTTTGCGCCAGTGACTGTAGGGGAGGCAAGGCCAGGGACATGGCTGTGTGGTGCCCAGGGAGGCTGGAGCCTGGCATGGGGCTCCCCGACTTCCAGCTAGGAGAGGGCAGGAGGTCAGAGGTAAAAGCTGGGACGTCTCAGCAGGAGCCAGTGGAGACAATGACCAAGGCAGAGGGAGGAACTGCCCAGTGCGTTGTGCTGCGGAGCCAGTGCAGCTGATACTGAGTTCCCGCTACCCAAGCAAGAAGGGCTGCACAGTTAGATCTTAGTTATTTCAAAGAAAACAGCCCGAACCTCGACAATGCCGCTTGGGTGTACGAGGGCAGGCCCAACACCACGCGGGCCTCAGTGAACAGAGTCGTCGAGCTCGGTATAGAGCAGTGATGGCGAACCTGTGACACCTCTGACACGCGAACTCATTTTTTTGGTTGATTTTTCTTTGTTCAATGGCATTTAAATATATAAAATAAATATCAAAAATATAAGTCTTTGTTTTACTATGGTTGCAGATATCAAAGAATTTCTAGATGTGACACGGCACCAGAGTTAAGTTAGGGTTTTCACAATGCTGACACGCCGAGCTCAAAAGGTTCGCCATCACTGGTCTAGAATGTCAATGGCAGGCATCCAACTTAGAAATATATATTGTTGAGTAAATTATATGCCAGAAAAAGGTTAAAGTGTGCTGGGGGGTGAGAGGTGAAGGGAACATCCTCAGATCCTGGTTTGAACAAACCAGTGGTAAAAAGCAATTTGGGGAACCCGGGAAGTACTTTGGGCAAAACCTTTTAACCGTTGTTGAATCTGGGTGATACGTAGGTGAATGGTCACTGTACTCATTTTTTCTACACCTTAAAAAAAAAACTCGCAGCGAGGTAGAGGCGGCCAAGTACCAGAGTTCCGGCCAGTGAGATGTAGGCGATCCCTGGGGAGGTCTCCCTTTACTCTCTCTCAAAGGCATGTCTTCGTGAGCTGAAACCTCGGGGCTCTATTTTTTTTTCCCTTCCTGTTTGCCACATGGACATGATGCCTGGAGGTGCAGCAGCCTTCTTGTGACCAAGAGAAGCAAACCCACAGGCTCAGGATAGCAAGCCAGGAAGGTCAAAGGCGATGGGAACAGTAACGGTGCCATGGAGCTGCTATCCC